ATGTCATATTTACAGACGGAGCGTACTGATGTCATAGTTACAGACTGGCGTACTGTTATGATAGTTACAGATAGACGAACTGATGTCATATTTACAGGCGGGCGTATTCATGTCATAGTTATAGACGGGCGGACTGATGTCATAGTTACAGACCGGGTGTGTTGATGTCACAGTTACAGATAGGTGAACTGATGTCATAGTTACAGACGGGACGTACTGATGTCATAGTTACAGACAGGCGTACTGATGTCATAGTTACAGACAGGCGTACTGATGTCATAGTTACATATAGACGAACTGATGTCATAGTTACAGTCGGACGTACTGATATAATAGTTACATACGGGTCGTAGTGATGTAATAGTTACAGACAGGGCATACTGATGTCATAGTTACAGACGGACGTACTGATGTCTTAGTTACAGACGGGCGGATTGATGTCATAGTTACAGACAGGCGCACTGATATAATTGTTACAGACGGGGCGGACTGATGTCATAGTTACAGGCAGGCGTACTGATGTCATAGTTACAGATAGACGAACTGATGTCATAGTTATAGACGTGCGGACTAATGTCAGAGTTACAGACGGACGTACTGATGTCTTAGTTACAGACGGGCGGACTGATGTCAGAGTTACAGACGGGGCGTATTTTATGTCATGGTTACAGACGGGTTTACTGATTTCATAGTTACAGACGGACGTACTGATATCTTAGTTACAGACGGGCGGACTGGTGTCATAGTTACAGACCGGATGTATTGATGCCATAGTTACATGCGGGCGTACTGATGTAATAGTTATAGATAGACGAATTGATGTCATATTTACAGGCGGTCGTATTCATGTCATAGTTATAGACGGGCGGACTGATGGAGTTACAGGCATGCGGACTGATGTCGGAGTTACAGGCGGGTGTACTGATGTCATAGTTACAGTCGGTCTAACTGATGTCTTAGTTAGAGACCGGGTGTATTGATGTCATAGTTACAGACAGGCGTACTGATGCCATAGTTACAGACAGGCGTACTGATGTCATAGTTACAGACGGGGCGTACTGATGTCATAGTTACAGACAGGCGTACTGATGTCATAGTTACAGACAGGCGTACTGATGTCATAGTTACAGACAGGCGTACTGATGTCATAGTTACAGATAGACGAACTGATGTCATAGTTACAGACGGGGCGTACTGATGCCATAGTTACAGACAGGCGTACTGATGCCATAATTACAAACAGGCGTACTGATGTCATAGTTACAAACAGGCGTACTGATGCCACAGTTACAAACAAGCGTACTGATGTCATAGTTACAGATAGACGAACTGATGTCATAGTTACAGACGGGGCGTACTGATGCCATAGTTACAAACAGGCGTACTGATGTCATAGTTACAAACAGGCGTACTGATGCCACAGTTACAAACAAGCGTACTGATGTCATAGTTATAGAAGGGGCGTACTGATGTCATAGTTACAAACGGGACGTACTGATGTCATAGTTACAGACAGGCGTACTAATATTATAGTTACAGACGGGGCGTAGTGATGTCATATTTACAGACGGAGCGTACTGATGTCATAGTTACAGACTGGCGTACTGTTATGATAGTTACAGATAGACGAACTGATGTCATATTTACAGGCGGGCGTATTCATGTCATAGTTATAGACGGGCGGACTGATGTCATAGTTACAGACCGGGTGTATTGATGTCACAGTTACAGATAGACGAACTGATGTCATAGTTACAGACGGGACGTACTGATGTCATAGTTACAGACAGGCGTACTGATGTCATAGTTACAGACAGGCGTACTGATGTCATAGTTACATATAGACGAACTGATGTCATAGTTACAGACGGACGTACTGATATAATAGTTACATACGGGTCGTAGTGATGTAATAGTTACAGACAGGGCATACTGATGTCATAGTTACAGACGGACGTACTGATGTCTTAGTTACAGACGGGCGGATTGATGTCATAGTTACAGACAGGCGCACTGATATAATAGTTACAGACGGGGCGGACTGATGTCATAGTTACAGGCAGGCGTACTGATGTCATAGTTACAGATAGACGAACTGATGTCATAGTTATAGACGTGCGGACTAATGTCAGAGTTACAGACGGACGTACTGATATCTTAGTTACAGACGGGCGGACTGATGTCAGAGTTACAGACGGGGCGTATTTTATGTCATGGTTACAGACGGGTTTACTGATTTCATAGTTACAGACGGACGTACTGATATCTTAGTTACAGACGGGCGGACTGGTGTCATAGTTACAGACCGGATGTATTGATGCCATAGTTACATGCGGGCGTACTGATGTAATAGTTATAGATAGACGAACTGATGTCATATTTACAGGCGGTCGTATTCATGTCATAGTTATAGACGGGCGGACTGATGTCGGAGTTACAGGCATGCGGACTGATGTCGGAGTTACAGGCGGGTGTACTGATGTCATAGTTACAGTCGGTCTAACTGATGTCTTAGTTAGAGACCGGGTGTATTGATGTCATAGTTACATGCGGGCGTACTGATGTAATAGTTACAGATAGACGAACTGATGTCATCGTTATAGACGGGCGGACTGATGTCAGAGTTATAGACGGGGCGTATTGATGTCATAGTTACAGACGGGTTTACTGATGTACTAGTTACAGACGGGCGGACTGATGTCAGAGTTACAGGCGGACGTACTGATGTCCTAGTTACAGACGGACGTTATGATGTCATAGTTAGAGACGGGGCGTACTGATGTCATAGTTACAGACGGGGCGTACTGATGTCATTGTTAGAGACGAGGCGTATTTATGTCATAGTTACAGATGGGTTTACTGATGTCATAGTTAGAGACGGGGCGTACTCATTTCATAGAGACGGGCGTGCTGATGTCATAGTTAGAGACGGGTGTACTGATGTCATAGTTACAGACGGGCGGACTGATGTCAGAGTTACAGACGGGGCGTATTTATGTCATATTTACCGACGGGTTTACTGATGTCGTAGTTACAGAAGGGTGTACTGATGTCAAGGTTACAGACGGGCAGACTGATGTCAAGGTTACAGACGGGCGTATTTATTTCATAGTTACAGATGGGTGTACTGATGACATAGTGTGCTTTTGATAATAACAAAGGGGCTGCTTAGGTCAGAGTTAGAGAGGGGTGTACAGGCTATACAGATATGCTTTCATAGATCATTGTTATCGATCGAAGAAATTATGTCATTGATACAGAACAGACTGGCCTACGTATGCTAAGGGTACAAAGTAGAGTACCAATAAAGTCATTGATAAAGTGATGTCATATCTATGTCATAGATAAAGGGGTGTCATATTTATGTTTTAGTTAAAGGGGTGTCATATTTATGTCATAGATAAAGGGTGTCATATTTATGTCACAGATAAAGGGGTGTCATATTTATGCCATAAAGGGGTGTCATATTTATGTCATAGATAAAGGGGTGTCATATTTATGTCATAGATAAAGGGGTGTCACATTTATGTTTTAGATAAAGGGGTGTCATGTTTATGTCATAGATAAAGGGGTGTCACATTTATGTTTTAGATAAAGGGGTGTCATATTTATGTCATAGATAAAGGGGTGTCATAATTATGCCATAGATAAAGGGGTGACATATCTATGTTTTAGATAAAAGGGTGTCATATTTATGCCATAGATAAAGGGGTGTCATATTTATGTCATAGATAAAGGGTGTCATATTTATGTCACAAATAAAGGGGTGTCATATTTATGCCATAACGGGGTGTCATAATTATGCCATAGATAAAGGGGTGTCATATTTATGCCATAGATAAAGGGGTGTCACATTTATGTTTTAGATAAAGGGGTGTCATATTTATGTTTTAGATAAAAGGGTGTCATATTTATGTCATAGATAAAGGGGTGACATATCTATGTTTTAGATAAAAGGGTGTCATATTTATGCCATAGATAAAGGGGTGTCATATTTATGTCATAGATAAAGGGGTGTCACATTTATGTTTTAGATAAAGGGGTGTCATATTTATGTCATAGATAAAGGGGTGTCATAATGATGCCATAGATAAAGAGGTGTCATATCTATGTTTTAGATAAAGGGGTGTCATATTTATGTCATAGATAAAGGGGTGTCATATTTATGTCATAGATAAAGGGGTGTCACATTTATGTTTTAGATAAAGGGGTGTCATATCTATGTTTTAGATAAAAGGGTGTAATATTTATGTCATAGATAAAGGGGTGTCATATTTATGTCATAGATAAAGGGGTGTCATATTTATGTCATATTTACGAGTGTTAATGGGTAAAAGAGTAATGTGATATGTTCTGGTAGTTCTCGAAACCGTAATATTGGTACATAGAGTGTACAGTGTACACGTTTAAATGATTTTGAAGATTTTCTAGGATTAGTAAATATATTTAGAATTGTGATATGTTATTGGATTCAATCAATTTTGCGCGGTATTTACGTTGAATTGATGAACAATTTAGTGTATTGTAACGCCCTCCTTAACATGAATCAAATACTTCGTTTGTAATGTCCTACATTGAACATCATCTGGTGACGATTTCTTGTTTCTAAATATGTTCAAAAGAGAATCATTTCTTTAAAATAAAATTAATAAAAGAGGAGTTTGGAAGTTTCCGTGTTGAATTTAACTGTCTCTGATCATCACTCAATCGGACGCACATTTCCTTTTCTGGAAATTAGGTTTTCATGAGAGGTCCGTTTAAATGAGGGAGGGATGGATATATATATATATATATATATAACACAACACAAAATTAAACACATGTATTGAGTCCGCCGGTAAATACAAATGCATTACCTCCCCTTTCACTTGACGTTAACCATCACAGGAAGTAGCATTGTTTATGACGTCACTTGGCGTCGAGATCTGCTTGACAACGGATCAACAACGTCAGATCACTTTTGATAGAGTATTATAGAGTATGAAGTGTCAAAACGCTACATGAGGATTCAGTTGTACTTTCTCAGTGGAACAATTGCTGTAGTAGTTGTCTCCCTTGGGACGATGTCGCTCATACGAAGGATTCTTCGACGGCATTCGAACAGGGTGACCAACGGAGAGATGGCTGTTATAAACACTGACGTAGACTCGCTGACCTCGAGTGAATCAATGGACATGGTCCTCACAGTACTGTCTGACTCTACCACAGACGATTCTTGTCAGGATACGTCCTCTGGTACATCACGGAATGTTGACTGCAGACGCAAACGACGTAAGCTGGCTTCACTTATAAGACAAAAGAGGTAAAAACCTTCAATCAAAAAATATTTTTACGTGAATGATTCATACTGATGTAGCAATACATCATTTTTAAAAACGTATCAAACTGAAAACAAAGTCAGATTATCTGATGAAAAATCATATTCGCCGTTCCAAACCTTATAAAAGTTGAGAGGGGAAATTAAGATAGTTTCTGGTTTTCCTGTTACTTCCAAGCGTAACATTCTGGGCCCCCAACTGCTTGTGGATTTATCACTCTACCACCTGACAGAGTGAAGCGAAGGGCGGTAACTCTGAGAGGTCAGAAAGAAGCCTAAAGGATTCAGGCTCGTAGTGGATATCTTGCTCTGGTATTCCTGTGAATTATCGGTACAGTTGAATGAATGTTAACATTTCCAGACCGAGAGCTTTAAATGGGTACATGTTCTTTTTCTATATTAAGATAAGAATTATGGGGAAAGGGGGATGGGGGGGAACGGAGACGAATGTGAACTACAATGTAAGTACATGGACAAAATAATCAGAAACTATACCTCCTGACTTTCAAAAATATCGTAAAATTTGGTCTTTTTCCTGGTTCGGTACCATAACATTTACATACTGCCAGCAGGCCTTTGGTGTTTTCTCTATCCATTGTTTCCGAGATATGTACTTATCCATTCTGTGCAGTAAATACATTGTACATCTGCACACGTGTTTCAGCCAGAAGGAGTTGAAGCTTGACCATAAACAACAGGAGATCATACAAATTGATGCTGAAATAAGAGAAGTTATGCGCATGCTCAAACATATAGATATCAGGGACATTGCTCTGGATGAGGAAGTTCAATTCAAAAGACTGGAGTTGATGTCCATGTTTCCAAGCGGTAGGAATTTCGTCTTAGAATTTAAAAACAATGTTTCGTCCAATCAGTAAAGTTTTTTGGGGGTTTCTACTTCGAGTTTATAAACTATAACATTATATATTTATATTGTGTGTTTTATTTAACTCCATATTAATAGTATAATAGATTGTGGTATGTTAGACTACAATTTTACAGTAATTCAGTTTGTGTAAGATACAGACAGTTGTCTCTAAGATAAAGAAAATTGACAGTCTGTCACTTTCTGTAGTATTATTACAGAGTTATTGGACTTTAATGATTCAGTCTGTGTAGGATACAGACAGGTGTCTCCAAGATAAAGAAAATCGACAGTCTGTCACTTTCTGTAGTATAATTACAGAGTTATTGGACTTTAATGGTTCAGTTTGTGTAGGATACAGACAGTTGTCACTTAGATAAAGAAAATCGACAGTCTGTCACTTTCTGTAGTATAATTACAGAGTTATTGGACTTTAGTTAGAGGCCTTCAGAAACAAATTAAACTTGCATGAGTAAGTTTTAAAATAATGAAACATAACAAAGAAAGCCTTGTCAGACACGAAATTCTCCAGACATTTGTTATAATCAGTATAACATACTAGATTACCATGTTGATCTACGTCATCTTCTAGACATCGATCTGTCCATACCTAGAATCCGTTACAAACAAAATGTCCTTGTATCACTTATTGATGGGAACGAGTTCCAACTGGAACTTCCCTGGTTAGTCAGTTCTGAGAGTCACATAAGTCCGAAGAAACACCACATACATCGTTTTGTACAATCTGATTGAAAGCCGGATCACTTCACAATTACGTGTAAGTATCAACGGTCAACAAACGGCTTTTATTCCATACAATAATTTAAATAGTCATAAAAGATATGTTAAAAACGAATGGAGGAAAATATCTTTGTGACTTAGGCGGAGTATTCCTTTAAGATTCGCCCAAGCACCAACATTATACAATATAACGATAATCTTTCTTACTTTCCTCTGTTGAAGTCTGAAGATGTAAACTTTGTCTTACAGGCGTGTTTTTATAGTTGATAAGATATTCCATTTGCCGTATGATAAACACTAGAGATAATATGTTGACACCATTTATGTGAATCGACCACTATTTCAGTTCCGTTCCCCGATAAATCATACTTACAATTCAATATACACTGATGTCAAACTATTCCCCAGTAGTTCCTAACTTTTCCCATGTACAACATCTACTGAAGTCCAAATTACGATTATGACAACCTCGTTACACACTGTAATACGTTCAATCATTACAAGGTATCATGTCTGTTACACTGCAAACAAAAACACAAGATAATGACAAGAATTTCCCCTCATAATGAAACCTAGACTAATTATATTTATTTTTTATTCAATTATTTTGTTTTGTTTTGTTTCCTTAAAAAACTCCATGAAGATCTTATTTACGTTTTGAATATCGATAAATGTGTATAAAGTCTTACAAATGTAACATTTGTAGGATAACAATTTCCTTGTCATTTTCCAAATATGATTTTATACAATGGGAAGTATTTCTGTTCCAGTGACAGAGGACTCAGAGAAGGACATTCGACATAAGGAAGCAATCTACCACCGGCGATTCACAAATATCAAGTCTGCGGTCGACGCCAAGAATCTCCTGACAATGATCAGGACAAGGAAACACGCCCTTGACCAACTCGAACTTCTCACTTACCGGAAGTACGTCAGTATTCAACATGACATCGAGGCTAAAGACAATTCTACAGTTTCTCCCCTGAATCCCTGTCGGCCGAACTTCGATCATCTGTTCAGTGTTATAAGGGAGAGGATTGCCCAGCAGCAAGCTGGAGGACAGTTCGCCGACTTCGACGCCACGGCGGATGATGTCTTCCCTACAATGTCCAATTCTAGCCAAACCACCGATAATGGAACCCTCCAACTGCGGCTTGACCCGACACGTGCGCCACCGTCCGAGTCTGTGGTGTGACGTGGGCATGAGGTGGGTGTGTCATAATGTTGTTGATGTTTGAGCATCTTCTGAATGAGTGTTGAGGAGGTGTGTGTGTGTGTGTGTGTGTGTGTGTGTGTGTGTGTGTGTGTGTGTGTGTGTGTGTGTGTGTGTGTGTGTGTGTGTGTGTGTGTGTGTGTGTGTGTGTGTGTGTGTGTGTGTGTGTGTGTGTGTGTGTGTGTGTGTGTGTGTGTGTGTGTGTGTGTGTGTGTGTGTGTGTGTGTGTGTGTGTGTGTGTGTGTGTGTGTGTGTGTGTGTGTGTGTGTGTGTGTGTGTGTGTGTGTGTGTGTGTGTGTGTGTGTGTGTGTGTGTGTGTGTGTGTGTGTGTGTGTGTGTGTGTGTGTGTGTGTGTGTGTGTGTGTGTGTGTGTGTGTCAAAGTGGGTCGTGGAAGATGGGGACATAATGTTGGTAAAGGTTTCGTGTGTTGCGGAAAGTGGTCAGTTTGATCACTGCGAGAACTCATGCCATTTCTTGACTGTTTCAATAAACAAGCTTATTGAAGTACGTATTTGTTGTTGAGGTTGCTCTCATATGTTCATTAAAAGATGAAAATGATAGAAAAAATGGAGAAAATTTGGCTACACGAGGGAACACTTTAACAGGGGAAACGACGGAAAAAATTAATCCGCCGTGCCGTAACAGCAACTGACACAGCTCGCTGCCGTGACCAGGATTCGAACCTGGGTTGTTGCGGCCACAACGCGAAGTACTAACCACTATACGATCACGGCAATAGGTCCAAATAGTGGTGGGGGGAGGGAGGGGGTGAAATTGGCTTCAAAGAATGTGACGGTTTTGTTACATTGTGTTTCTTCTACACATTCGCTGCTGTTGTCGGAATACACCTACCATATATATTTTTGCTGTATTGGGCAGTTACGGAAAACATCTGTAGTTTTAGCACGTCATTTTATTTTCAGGCTTCAGTTTTATTTATGTAACCGAGAGGTAAACACCAAAACCACCCGAGCAGTTTTTTTTCCAACTTTATAGTTATATTCAGAAATAAACAAGCACGCAGTAGATACACAGATGAAACAAATAAAAAGCTAAATTTTAGCATTGTATAAATATAGGTTTACTACAAATACAAAAACTTTTGTCTTTCTTCACCCTCGCCAAACTACAGCCTACTGGTATATCTTCTAGACATCGGTTCCAGCCCGTTATATGTTTCGGTGCGGCCATACTGTTGAACTTAATTACGTGAACAATGGACCTACGTAACTTAGAACCTGACTGATATTGGTTAATGTAACATTTGACGCTTCCAAAAAGAGTCAAATGTTGTGATTTAATCCATTCGTCATAAAGTAGTAGGAGTGTTCGTTTCATTGGTAAATATGGGTACTTTTTCTCAATACACGTATTTTTCACGTCAACCCCCCCCCCCCCCCCTCCCCCCAGTTGAAGTTGAGATCGTATAAAGATGTTTTTCAGAAAAAATACTGGAGTTTTACTGATCACTTCAATGGAAAAAAATCATAGTATAAACACATTAATGTATGTATTTAGTTGGTTGCAAATACTCGACATGGCATTGCTACCTAGATGCGATTAACAAGGGGGCCGAAACTAATGCGCAAAGATATTTCAAGACAGCCATTAATATCGAGGCCGAAACTAATGCGCCAAAGATGTTTCAAGACAGCGATTAATAAGCGGGCCGAAACTAATGCGCCAAAGATGTTTCAAGACAGCGATTAATAAGCGGGCCGAAACTAATGCGCCAAGGATATTTCAAGACAGCGATTAATAAGCTTGCCGAAACTAATGCGCCAAAAATGTTTCAAGACAGCGATTACTAAGCGGGCCGAAACTAATGCGCCAAAGATATTTCAAGACAGCGATTAATATCGAGGCCGAAACTAATGCGCCAAAAATGTTTCAAGACAGCCATTAATATCGAGGCCGAAACTAATGCGCCAAAGATGTTTCAAGACAGCGATTAATAAGCGGGCCGAAACTAATGCGCCAAAGATGTTTCAAGACAGCGATTAATAAGCGAGCGGAAACTAATGCGCCAGAAATGTTTCAAGACAAGGACCATGTATTCTCTATATATGGAAGAGTTGAAAGGAAAGGCAATATCACAACAGAAGAAAAGTTTTTAAAATCCTATGCTAGCTACGGGTGTATTTAGTCTTTGGTTATATGTTTCTTGTGAATCAGTCTTTCTAAACGTACTGAAAATAAAACACGTGTTTGCTGGACATTAATCAAACTCCGTCATCAATTCTCTTCTCTCTCTCTCCAAAAGGGTCCTGACGATATTCAAAATTGATCTGTCAAATTGTTTGACATCCAGATTTATTTAAAGATGATATATTTTCAGAGTTTGACACTCGTGAAACATCTTCATTCTGTCGTTGTTGTAGTCACAGGCATATTTATGGCTGGCAGCTAAATCGGACTACTTTCGCTTCTAAATGGAAACTGCTTTGAATTAGGTTCCACATGCAGTTATACTTGGTGATATAAATGTTTGACTTTCGACCCAATTTTTATTTCTGACACATGCATTTTATAACGACAGACGTAATCGACATAGACCGAGATATATCTGACCTTCAAGCAACTGTGGACGTGACTGTAGGGACTAACATTGTGAGAAGTTTGAAAAGTGATATGACATAAGGATGCAGGTTATGAACTTTTTTATCAGTCGACTTTTAGATACGAATTAGACTGAAGGTTTTATGGACGTATATTCATCAGACGACTTGTGTGACATTTTACTGCTAGGTACTTAGAAAGTACTGATGAGTGTATTCCTTCTAAAACAGTTGCAATTAGACCTAATGATAAACCGTGGTCCAACTCCCACTTCAGACGACAAATTAGAAAAAGAAACAGATTATTAAAAAAATAGAAATCCAGTCGCACTCTTAATAATTTTAATAACTTTAGGAAACAGCGAAATTACGTAAGCAATCTGAAAAAGAGGACAAATGATTTTTTTATGCGGACATAAATGAACTTTTGGACAATTTTAGTGACCCAAAATTCTAGAATTTTTTGGAAAATTTTCCGCAGACTAATGAAAACGGCAGCATTTTAAAATTATTATAACCTCCTTTAATGAGTGCAACCGGAGTTATAGAAATGGACGATAACATTAAGACTAACATATTTAACGACTACTTTGGGTCGATATCTACTATTGAAGATGCTCACGTTGACCTACCTGTTATTGAACCTAGAACCGACACTAACATATCAGACATCCTCCTCCTTTCTCTCTCTCTCTCTCTCTCTCTCCTTTCTCTCTCTCTCTCTCTCTCTCTCTCTCTCTCTCTCTCTCTCTCTATTTCACTCACTCTGTCTGTCTCTGTCTCTGTCTCTGTCTCTCTCTCTCCCTCTATCTTTTTTTTCTTTGTATTTTGTTTTCTTAAAAAAAGGAAAACCCATTTGTCCTCTTTTTCAGATCGCTTACGTAATTTCGCTGTTTCCTAAAGTTATTAAAATTATTAAGAGTGCGACTGGATTTCTATTTTTTTAATAATCTGTTTCTTTTTCTAATTTGTAGTAAATTAAAAAAAATTTATTTATTTTTTATTACCTTATATTTTAGAAGTGGTTATCACGATTGTTCGCCATTCAAATGGTGAGACACATACAATGGCTCATTCACGAATCAAACTTTAAAAAAGAAATACATTTAAAATTTGTATATGTAATACTTTGCCATTTTTTTCATATTTATAGTATACGGGTATCATGCTACAGATTTTAACATGTAATTCCGAATAACACGGCAAATTTATTAAGATCTGACCAAAAAGTACATGTATATTTTTGCCAATTTAGTACCAAAGGTTTCAGAAATTCGATAGATTTTTCCAAGCTTGTTCGAGTTACCTCCCTTCTGCCCCCATGCATACGTGGCAAAACAGTCACGTGTAATTGAAGTAGTCCGTCGGGCTTGTTGTTTTGTAGGTCTAGGGGTATCAGGTCCCGGGTTCGAGTCCCGGACAAGCCCAGGACATGTTTTGATTTGGACTAATATTAATATTATTATTTCTGTATGTTGACAACAGTTAGCTCCAATGTGTTCCAGTCATGGCTGTGAAGTACTTTGGATTGTTGTTACGGCGCGCTAAATCATCATTTTTATTTCATTCCGAACATAAATTTCATTGCAATTTGGTTCTGTTAAAACTATTTTAATAGATAGGATTTAAATGTCTACGGAAATAAATAAACATATGGTAGAAAAATACCGAACACTCTGAACACTTGTCAGATATTTGCTGTGTTCGTTGTGAGAATGTTGATGCGTAAGCCTGTTCCAGTTATCTCCCTTCTGCTGCATTGCATACGTGGCAAAACGGCACAGTGCTACAACTATTATCAATCTACCTAAAACAGGTATCAATATGTTAAGTGTTTATATATGTCATTTGTTTCTTTTTAATAATTTACTTTTTAATATAATACATTTCATATAAGTATCTGTTTGTTCAGTATTTAATATGATTACTTCATTCGTAAGTGGCTTGTTGGTCTAGGGGTATGATTCTCGCTTTGGGTGCGAGAGGTCCCGGGTTCGAATCCCGGACAAGCCCGGTGACTTTTTTCTTCTTCTTTGTTTTTTGTCGATTAAAACAATTTCTACGTTACCGTCTCTATTATGTTTCCGTCAGGTGGTAACGCATTTGTCTTTCACCACGGCGACCGAGAATTTCTATTTCTCTATCGGGCGTGATAAGGTATGATGTCACCTTGTCGGTCTGTCTTGTCCCTGCAGTCATCGTCTGTCTTCTCCCTGCAGTCATTGTCTGTCTTGTCCATCAGACATCTTCTGTCTTCTCCTTGCAGTTATCGTCTGTCTTGTCCCTCAGACATCGTTTGTCTTCTCCCTACAAACATCGTCTGTCTTGTCCTTCAGACATTATCCGTCTTGCCCCTGCAGTCATCGTCTGTCCTGCCTCTCAGACATCGTCTGTCTTGTCCCTGCAGACATTGTCTGTCTTGT